GGTAAGCATTTAGCCTCAAGCCTCATAGTATGAAGGTCCGTTATTCCCAAATTGAGTACTAGGCAGATAAATTTGCGCCTATTACGTTAAATAATATATAGGACCAGTGTTGGCCTAGTGGCTTCAGCGTGCGACTTTCATCCCTGAGGTCGTAGGTTCGTTCCCTGGCTGTGCACCAAAGGACTTTTTTTTCCATGTGCGCTTAAATTCGCTCGAACGGTGAAGGAAAACATCGTGAGGAAACCGACATGTCTTAGACCCAAAAAGTCGACGGCGTGCACTGGAGCCTGATCACCTTCTTGCCTATAGGCAATCTAATAAGATTCTAATAGATTAAAAAATGATCTTGAAACTGATTCAGAAATCTAAGGCCCAGACCTAAAGAGGTTGTAGTGCCACTGATTTATTTATTTTATTACCTTAAATATTTTTATTAAACACCTCTCGTGATCAGACATATATTGAAATTATAGACAATAGACATAGACATTTCATTTATTACTAACAAAAACACACAAAATAACAATAATCAACCAAAAAAATCCCTATAGAGAGACATAAAAAAAATCCCTTTTCCCAATCGGTACGTTTTAAGTGTGTAATGCGTGTGTGCTGTGGCTGTAATTGGCCCTGGCTCAGCATTTTGCTGAGGAGCAGAATCTTTCACAGCGCTGGTCATACTTATAGAGACCACATCAGCTAGTTTGCGCCTCAGTCGCAAAAAAAGAAAGAAAAGGAATGTAATAATACTTAGTAGAAAAAATAATATTAGTAAAAGCAGTGTAAGTAATGAAGTCTTGTGTAAAGGTGTAAATAATAAATTGGAGCTCATTCGTGGTTTAAAGTAAACCCTTAAGACTAAGGTGTTTTTGTATGCGATCCCAATGCTGCGAGATATTCGCTACCTACGAATGACATATCGCTTGCCCTGGGGAACAAAATCGTAAAAGCAAAATCTATTTTTTAGGAAAAATAAAAGAAGGTAATGCTATTATTACTAGGATACTAAATACATTACATATACAAATATATATAACAAATGACAGCTATTTTGTTTCCTATTTGACGATTAAAACGTTCTTGTTATATATTTAGTGGAAATAAACAAAAAAGTGCGTGCGTACAAAGTACACATGTCAGAAGTGAAACTTCTTTGGCTAACTAATTTTTTCTAGTTCATATTTATACAATCTCATTTGGCTATTTCTTGAATTTAATTGTCATTAAAATATAAAAGTGTTGAAAATAATACAAAATAATAATTTTTTTTCACATGTAATAACACGTGGCCTTTTAATTTACAATTCGTCATTTGAGATTTCAATAAATTATTTTGCATAAAATATAAAATACTAATATTTCATAAATTCTCTTTACGAAATTTTAATTTAAAAATAGAATTTCTATAGGGTTCCCTTCTCACTCTCTCTCAATCGGTCTCAATCGCTCTCTCCCTTTTCGTCGACAAAAACGCTGCACATCTTCGTGACGCTAATAATATTATTAATGCGTTTTATCCGTAAAAATTGTACCCTCATGCGCCTAAAAAAGTTTCACTTCAACAACTTAATTTATGTAGGTAATTGGACTGAAGTGTAAAGGCGTTTTACAATTTTTTCACTATTTGAACATAATAACGGACGACACAGTAACCGCACATTGTAACGGCACATAATTGTCTAGAACGTAATAATTTATTATGTACCACTTTTTTCACGGAAATATTATGACCTTGGTGAAACAGAAATATATTATTAGCACTATTTTATGATTGTGTGGTAGAATTACAAACTAAACTAAAACTATATTTATGGTTGTTGCTAGATAGCAAAAATGAAATAGATATTTCAGGATAGTAAAATTTGTTTAAATTTCTAACATTGTGTACAAAATAATTTCCGTAGAATAAAGACATCCTCGTGTTTTTTTTATTATAAAATTTTCTGTAAAAATTCTGAAAAAGTTATAGTTGTAGGCCAAGGAAGTCAAAAATGAGAAAACATTAAAACGGTCGACTTTATTTGATATGAAAATTTATATACTAATACTAGCCTTTCGCGCCCCTTTGGGACAATGAAAAAATTTTATGTTCTTTTTTTTTTTTTTTTTCATATTTTTATTATTCTTTTTTTTAACTTCCCGCTAATATAATTGAAATATTTCGAAAATCGAGTTTTTAAGTTGTTGACGTTTAGAGGTTCTAGGAAACCCCCCCGAATGTCCTGAAGTCCGTTGGTAAATTTTCAAAAGTAAAACGCAATAAAAAAACGAGTTGGAATTCATAAAAAATGCCAAACCCCCGGAAAAATTCCCCCCCGAAGGGGGGGTTTCATGCGAACGACGTGGTTTAGGCGTGAAGGAGCCTCAAACGAAGACCATTTTCCTTTTATATATATATAGATAATAAATAGGTAAAGTTTGTGAGGTTGTAGGGTATAATCTCTGGATACTGATGAAAATATGTTAGAAAAGGGATATACATGTGTGAAAATAACATGAGAACTTAACCCCCTCAACAGTAGCCCGCAATATCACGACACCTAACTTCCGAGAGGCCTCTTTGTATCAAAGAAGTCACCAAGCATCCGCGAAAATACAATGTAAATACATAATTTTGTAGGAATGAAGAAAATAATTAACACAAATCTATATGGAGTTATTTCAATTTTCTTTGATTATTGTTATTTTGTGTGTTTTTGTTATGTCTATGTCAACGAGTTGGTGAAAATATCCACCGAGTGATTTTTCATCACAATTTTTATTAATACAACACAATCTGTTAAAAAATGAACACAAACAAGACCGGCGTATAAAAGTGATATTTGTTTCTGGTCAACCGGGTACTGCAGTAGATAGGGATTCTAGAAATTCCGTATGAATATCACTATGTATCTTGTAAAGATACTAATATATATTAATACGTATTTGTTGTAATGTAGTATCATTGAAGCCTATGTCCAGCAGTGGATGTCAACACGCTGAAACGAACGAACGTAAATGTATTAATAATAATAATTTATTGGCAAGAATATGATACAAAAATGTTATGGTGGTACAATCTAATACTAGCATATTCTGCCACACATAATGGCGTGCAAATTTGTCTTAAAAGGAATTTATAATATATATACACATAATTATAGTCAATTCTTAAATTATTTTATCACTAAATAATTACATTATTAAAATATATTATAACGTTATCCAATTGAGATTAATTATAATGTTTCACGCAAATAATCATTACATAATATAATATATTTTCCAAAACACATTAAGTCGATTTTTAAAAACTCTAATAGACTGATCTTTGAATGTTTTTAGTAATTTATTACAAAACCTTGATTGCTATAATTATTAGTATTTGTATGATTAAGTTTATAGAATTCTTGAATGGGTTTGTTGAAAAAAACCTTTACATATAGGAATTCTTCTTTTTATTGAACTTTGTGGTTAGGTGTTGTGCCATGACTGCTTCCAGAGGTGGTCAATTAATTATATTGGGTAGAATCCAGGGTAAGCGGCCTGTTGGTAGAAGGAAGAAATCATGATGAACGTTAGGACGGGTATTGCGACTGCGGAAGAGTTGCTGCATCTGGCACAGGGCAAGACCCGCTTTAATAGACGGCCAATCTCAATAAATGAGAGGCACTAAAAGAAGAAGAAGTGGTTGCTACAACTTCTTTATCTTATAACGAGTAGCTAATTATTGAGAACTGCTAGACTGTTTAATATTGTGTAGATACTATATGTAAAAATATTGAAACGATATTGATATATAATAATATTATTGATAATAAATTTCTGACTCAAAAGGCACAGGAGCCTGATTATCTACTTGCCTATTTGAGATATGATCATGAATCAGATACAGAAATCAGAAGACCAGAGTTAAAAAGGCTGTAGCGCCACTGATTTATTTATTTTAATGACACACTCATATATGATAGTTTTAATTAGTTATTATGTTAAGAATACCTATACATATTTTTTTATCATGGCAGCAATTTAGCGGTGTCCAATGCCAAGATAGCTGTTCTAGTATTCTGAGAAGGAATGAGTTTTGTAATCGAGACTAATCGTACCTTCAAGATAAGAGCGTACCAATTCTTAAAAGGCCGGCAACGCACTTGCGAGCCTTCTAGCAATGTGAGTGTCCATGGACGGCGGTACACTTAACATAGGGTGAGCCTCCTGCACGTTTGCATAAAAAAAAATAATCAAATGACTTTTAAAATAAATCAAATCGAGACAAAGCGTTAAGTATGTTTCGTATGTCTGCTCAATATTGAATTTTGACATATTGTGGGAATAATAGTTAAGCGCCCGGTGAGATTCAGAAACGAAACTTAGCTCGAACTAAATCCCCCGTACCTATATAAAAATCGAATACATTTTTGACGTACGAAGTCTCACTTAGTGTTAAGTAAGTTACCTAAAGCCCCTAAATATTGATAAAATACGACTAAATGGGTCGTTTATGGGTAGTTTAGGAAACAATTATAAAATAAAACACAAAAAACTTCACCCAAGATAATAATGTTCTGTAATTGCGTCTTATAAATAAATTACACTTTAATAACTCTAAGTATTAAGAGAGTAATAAAATAAAATAGTTTTTTCTAAACCACAAGAATCCAAAGTTCACGGAATAATGCGCTTTACATTATACACTTTTAAGCACATAATAGCGTAACGGACTTTTCAGTACCTTACATTTTTGTACGGAAAATAAGGTTTAGAATCCTTAATAACAATTGTTAGCATTGAATAATATACCGTAGTAACATCAACATGAAGACTAGTTTTGCCTACACGTATCGCATTCAAATAAACAGATCACAGAGCAAGATGTACTCTAAGTCACAGACGTAAGGTTCATAATTCAGAAATGCCAGTCTCCTCCCCCACACGTACAGGCGTGGCCACCTCATCTCAAACCAAGTCAGTCAGCATCAGTCGTTCGAAATTCAGTGATCGATACGTGTTGTGAGTGAAAAATGGATTCCGAAACCAAACAAACCAAAATCCCGCCGAAGAATTTCTCGATCGAGTCTATTGTGGGGATCGATCGACGCTCCCCGGAAATCGACATCGAGAATAATATCGATTTCAACGATGAGGAGGTCAAGAAAGTTGGTTATTACTTCCAAAATCGTGTACCGAACTTCCCTTTCTTCATGTACGAGAAAAGAAATGAGTACCAGGGGGAGGATTTGAAGAGGGCAAGCCCCGGGAGTGTCAGGAGTGAGGTGGACAGCGACGGCGCAGAGGACAGACCACACGGTAAGTTCGCAGTTTTAAATACATTTATAGTAATAATATACATTCTTTCAAGCAGTATTTAAAATATAATTAAACAGACCTTGAAGCAAGTCCTGACAGTTGAAATGATTACCTAATTTCGGTTTTTTATAGAAAAATATATTTGAATCAAGACTATACGAATTAGACACATAAATTCTGAGTTAGTTAGGCGAAGAAGTGCTGCTACTTACTGTTACCGTATTTTAATAAGTGTATTAGTAAAGCAAAAAGTTTGTTAGTATATAATATATTGACAACTGTGTGTACAAAGCTGCGTATTTTTTTAAATGGTACTTCATTACGCATCTTCTAATATAGGCAACTGATAACATTTCAATCCATATGCGCCCGCCGAGAAAAAAAGCGCCGTATTAAACTTTTCTCAAAGCAGTTCATGACATTTTCGTTCATAACTTCGTTGTGGATAAAATTAGAAGCCTGAATTCAGTTACCAAGCAGGGATTGTAGAAACACGGTATATTAATTTCATTCAATTTGAACCAGTAGCTATAACTATAACTAGTCAAATTTCTCAATTTTGTCACTCACTTCACTTAGTTGGAACTAAATAAATTGACCGACTTGGTGATACATTGATCTCATGTTTTACCGTAGAAGAACTGCGTTGCGTGACTTGGTTTTAACAAGTTATGATTTTGATATTTTTTATGCGTTCCATGTATAAAAAATAATTCATGCCGTTTTAAATACAATCTGTACCTACTAAACTTGTAATAAAATCCTCTCGATGTCATCTCTCAAATTTTTATCGTTTGGTATATTTATAATACCATCCCTTAGTAATAGACAAATAATTATAGAATAAAAAGGGGGGTTGTGGAAAAAAAATCATAGAGTATACACTCGTAGATAAACACGTCGATGAAGCGACGGGAGACGGAATTATACAGATAATAAATGACAACTAATTACAATAACATGAAATTAGTATTTACCTGCTTGAATTGGCGTAATTTGAGAAAATTATCAGGTCATTAAGCTAGCTGTAAAGCAATAAAGTGAGGTCTTTTTTTATAATTTTAATTGCTGAACGGTACATTGTCACTTTGTGAGTACCGACGGCCGAGAAATCATAAAAATTAACAATGACTTTCCAGGCTAGAAATTCATTTAGATTTTTTGCAAAGTCGTAACGATTCGGCTTGATTAATTATTAGTAATAGTCGAGCATAATAGGATCCTGTGTATCAGGGCTTTATCTGATTGAAAAAATAAGGAATTATTTCTGACATATCATATTAACACTTCATTTGTTCATTGAGCACGTTATAGCTTAATCTCAGTCGGTTTTAAATTTTTCAACTATGTTTAGAGTTAGTTTTAAATTGAGAACTGGCCCAGCTCACAGGGAGTTTCGCCACTACAGCGATAATAATCGTTTTGTAATTCCATTATAATTGCAGCATTTATTTTGTCTTTATTTATGCCTCTACGGCAATTACTGCCTCGAAGGCAAGGTAGATTAAAATGTCACGAAAATTATCTAAAAAATAAAACAGGTGGGAAAGTTCGTAGGCTGACATAGAGTTTGATATGGTTATTCAATATTGCCTTCCCGATACAACGATTATAACGGTCATACCATTTTTCGATACCATTTTTATAGTAGTACGATTTGTTTTAAACCAATAGGTTTCAGTTTCGGCAATTACCTCTTCATCAACGCAAAACTTCTGTCCAGCGAACATTCTCTTGAGGTCTGAGAACTTGTACTTACCTCTGATATTATCTAAAAGTTAAAAGTATTGACTTACAAAGTTACAATCAAATTTGAAGTTCCAAAACTTAGACTTTGACAAGCCATAATGACGACGTACGAAGGAGGTAAAATCATAATTAATAAATTTAATTAAATAAAACCATAAATATAGAGGATGGTGTTAATAGCCAGATTTTCCAGTTCTAAAGAAACAATTAACATTTGTTTATAAACAGGTGGAAAATAAAACATTTAAAGTTGAAAGGGTCACACCCTTGTTCATTGGTTTATAATACGATTAGTTGTTTGCAAAATATTTGTATCATAACTCCATTAGGGGTGTCACCCTCTGCATATTTAAATGTAACGAATTATCATATTATCCATAACAAATATTTTATTATTTGATTATGTTAATGCTTAATTGACTGACAATTTAAGTTTTGCTATAATGACATCTAAACGGTAACTGGGTAAGCACAGCTTTGTACGTACGAAGTAATAATATGTCGTCGGGTCCAATTTGACATGTAAAATTGTAAATATTATTTATATATGTTAGCAATACTACACATAAATATAATGTATGACTATATTTACATTTTAATATATATCGTAATGCAAATATTAGTATAATAATGACATTAAGATATTTGGTGTTTTCTGTTTTCTGTTTTCAAATATATTTTAATATCAATATTTTTGACGATTATAAGTTCTGTGTTAATAATAAAAAGCTCACCATAACTTTGTAATGAAATATGAAGGAGCAATTCCACAAATTGTAAGAAATATGTAAACAATAAACACTTCACGGTTTAATATTGACAAATTATTCTCCGCACCTACCGCGAACAGTAGCAATCGTATTCAAAACAATTGTTTTAAAATAATAACAAGTTTGGACACTAGCAGTTTTGACGCAGCGTGACATTTGTCAAATTTACCGCCAAAACAATGAGACCACAGACAATGCATGTCTTTCAATGTTGCCATACAATTGTTTTGCTCAATTATAGACTGGTGTATTGTGGTGGAAATTTCTCTTTTATTACTGCTTAGTTTTGGGTAAATATTTGGTTTTATTGCTTCCATATTTCGGTGGAAAGGTTTTATTACTTTACGGTTAGTTTCATTAACAATGTATTATAACAATACAGACCGAATTTTACTAAAGTCTTGAAATTCTGTAACGCTAAACTACGCTACTTTAAATGCAAAGTTATATACATATATATAGCTTTTTTTAATTTATGAGTACCTACCGTTATAAGCTGTTTAGCCCAGACACCAAAAAAAGTAATATCTCATTTACTCGCATCTAACAACCAATAGGTACGGTAAATGTAATTTTTTTTTGGGTTGGCAATGACTTTTCGATTATTATTGTTGATAATATATTAGTAAAACATATAAGATATAATGATGGCATATCAGTTGTTACTTTTCGTAATACAAAATAAATCGTTTAAGTACTTTGTTTATCTTTTGTTCGACATTATTTAATAGTATCTGTTATACAGAATCAAAGCGCTGTTAGTCGTATTTATCAGCGAGGTGTTATATCGTATTAATAAAGTTACCAAGCAATAACGCGCCATGATACTCAACGCAGCCGTGATTAAATTGTTAGGATAACGGTACACTGAGTGATACAGCAACATAGAGAAGTTTAAAGGTTTAATACTTGTTTTATAATTAATTTGTTTATATGTGGGCTTACTATTAATATGTACAATGTAATTTGTATAAGGTTATGACACTAAAACTATTTTAAACGAAATGCCTAGGGTTTATTATACGGGAGCCTCTAGTTTTTGTATTATTTGGAAATACTACAAATATAAAAACATTATTACGTATATATCACCTCAATGAGGCTTTAATTAAACAAGTTTTTATTTAGTCAAATCCATTGTACCACCAGCCTTATAAAGCAGTTAAATAAGCTTCAGAAGCTCGTGAGTGAAAGAGACAGAACGTGCCCCGCCCTGATTGGTGGGGAGAAAAACGTTCAACCTTATTGGTTGGCGCATTATGGATTTTTAGTACAAGGCGTTCCACATTCAAATATCGATAAAACGTTGACTTTGACAGTTCACTTTTTCCGCGCGCGTCTCTAGAATTTCCTGAAAAATCAATTGACAATTTACATCTACGCGCCTTTTCCGTTTTGTTTGGCGTTTTTTTTAATGGAGGCGCTTAATTACGGCATGGATACAAGGTTGAGAGGATTATCCGTTGACATAATGGCGAAACCTCATACTTGTAGTGACATACAAAATACGCCGCCATCGTCACCTAAAGGTACCTATTGTCTTATTAATTACTTTTTATTATGACAATCTCCAAAAATGTCAATTACATAAGTATCTACTTACTATCTTGAAAATTCTGCAGTTTAACATATTGCATTTCTTATATTTTAGTTTTGTTAACATATTATTCAAAATACGAATATGAAAGAAAACTAACAAAAAATATTTATCAATTTAATTTGACATTTTGATCTTTCATAAACTATTGCAATAATTAAAAAAAAACCATACATACCTAATGATTGATATTGAATTTATATTTGTCAAGTATCGTTTTAATAATAATTTATTTGCAAGAATATGTACAAAAATGTTATGGTGGTACAATCCAAACTTCGCATATTCTTCCACACACAATGGGGTGCAAATTTGTCTTAATAGGAATTTTACATACATTATAAGACAATTCTTATATTATTGATAGAGTGATAAAGTATCACATTATTAAAAAAATTAATTACGTTATCAAATTAATATTAATTATGTTTCACGCAAATAATCATTAATAGAATAATAAATTTTTTCCAAAAGTAATACATTAAGTCGATTTTTAAAAACAATAGTAGAAGTTAACGTTTTTAGTAACTATATTTACCTATGCCTAGTTGTGCATAATGGTAACTTAGACTTATTACAACTTAGATTAGATTAATTCATTTTATTTTCATCCTGTGCAATTCATGAATTCTTTGTTAATCACAAAAGTGTCCTAGCGGCGACTTCGTCGATAGGTATTTTTATGTAAGTACAGATTTGGTTTTTAGTTTTCATAAACAAATCAAACAACTCTTATTTTTTGTGTAGTACAACCGCAATATAATTTTATGTATTTATTAAGTAATAACTTAACAGCACTTATTATAAAATTACGATCCATAATTATGTTGTAAACCGTTATTTTGTCAAAGTCGCCGCTAGGACACTTTTGTAAATCTTTCCAGGTAATGCTATGATTTTAAACCATCTTCGTACTGTGTAAGAAATGAAGGTTATTTTACTCATTGTTTAACTATAGCAATTATGAGGTTACAACTCTAAATGTTTTGTCTTTAGCGTTTGAAACGCCGACAAATTTGCATTCTTTGTTTTATTTCCCGTTAGGTACCGTTTTGAAATGTGCCGATTAGTTTATATATCCCTTTTAATCTTAATTACACACGTTTACCTAATTGACCACGCAGCTGTCACAAAATCCTTGTCTACGGTCACTTCCCGCCACAGATTGACAAGTCGCCATTTTTAATTACACGTCACATGGGGTAATAGGTTGTACGTCTTGTCAATTGGGCTTTAACTGATTGTGTTTTTATTGCCAGCTCCCTACAGAGATATTTATCTCCATTACAGTGTTGCCGACTAGTAGATACGGATTTTATTATGAAAATTGGTTTAGGGGAGCGTGCCGAGGGATGACACTGGATAATTGGCTGTGTATTGGATAATTGTTCGCTATCGTCTGTCTAAATTGTTTTAATTCCTTTGAGAATTACTTTTTTTAATTAATCAACTTTCTAAGATACGTTTTATTGTTAGGGGTTTGTTGAGATTTAAAGCATTGCTTTTTATTTCATTTTGGAGACTTTATGACACAGAAAATATCAAATAAGTTCACTCAAATTATAATATTATCTAGATTTAAACATCTCGATTCACGTTGCAAATGCTGCTTAAATTACAGTTTCAAATCACGTCCTATTACGACATGAATCACCACAGACCAGACCGCAAAATAACAAAGGGCAGTAATACTACAGATACAAACCGGATTAATCATTCGTAAACACATTAGCGTAAACGCACAATTAATACCGATTCGCAACGTAATAGCCCTTGTAATAGTATCGATGCATCAATTACTATCGATATCGATATCTCACCCTCGCCACGCGTCACTAATTGATCGGCCATTGTTCATGCGTTTATTGTCTATGATACCGGTGATGGGATTCGTATTTTGAATCTGTTAGAATTCGATTTGTGTTCAACGTTCGCTGCTTTGTCCGATATTTATGGAATTTTCATTTATTAGTATATACAATTTTATAACGTTTAACATTTATTTTCATTTTCCCAACAATTGCATCATTATTCTTTTGTTACTCTATTCTTCTTAAATTTAGTCAATGTGGGCGAGAAATAAACATTCTTCGGTTATGGGTCTTTGCTAATATATAATATAATTAAATTGTTTTGTATGTGATATTAACTTAACAAACGTGTCCTATTAATTATCGCTGACAGCATCATAAGTGTTATTTTGTCCAAATATAGTCACTATGTTATGAAAATTATTATAGTATGATTTAGGTAAATGTTTGCCTCGGCATTTTGTTTTACGTACCAAAAAAACTACGCCCGTGGCAGCCATCTCCATGCCCACAGAGCAACATAAAAGTTAAAAAGAAAATACAACTTAATTTTAAAACAAAATCGACCGTTACTTATTGCATTACGAAAGACTGTGTGTCATTTTAAATTTATGACTGTCAGTTGACTTTGACAATTAGCGCGTTTTGAAACAATGTTCGAGGTTCTCGAAATTGTGTAAGTGGTGCATCAGTGTGTGTAGGCGGTTTATAAATTACATTAACATATATGAAATTGTTTTTTGTGGTCATATAAAATTTATAAAAAACTAATTAGTTAAAGTTAATACAATGAAGTGAAATATTTTGAACCAATTTGGATCAATTTAATGTAATTGAAAATCTTTTGCAGAGCTAATCATTATTTTATTGGTATTAATAGTAATACACAAAGTATTAATTGAAATTAAATGTGTCTTTGTCTTTCTTGGGACACAGATTCAACTTTCAAATAAAAAAAAAAATAAATCAGTGGCGCTATAACCTTTTAATGTCCGGGCCTCAGATTTCTGTATCTATTTCATGATCATTTGTTAATCTAATTGGCAAATAAGGGATCAGCCTTCTGTGCCTGACACACGCCGTCGACTTTTTGGGTCTAAGGTAAATCGGTTTCCTCACGATGTTTTCTTTCACCGTTCCTTCATGTTTAATGCGCACATTGACAGAAAGTCCATTGCACAGCCGGCGATCGAACCTACGACCTCAGAATGAGAGTCGCACGCTGAAGCCTGGCCTAGTGGCTCACAGCTCAATAACCATCAAATAAGTCATGTTAATATTTTTACACCATCAGAAGCCACACTTAAAAGATATTTGTCACCGACAAAATTAGTTTACAATTAACTGCGCTCCATTTCAAAACAACTTAAGTGGTGCGTCGCCATGTAAATTAAAAAATCAGATGTCACATTCAAAAACCGAACGGAAGCAATACGGAAGCTTGTCTATGACACACGCCATAAATACAGCTGTTAATTTCTTTTTAAAGAACGATAGTCTGTTGTTTTTTTAAAAGGAAACGCGGCTAGACTCTTGCAAATTGAGCTTTGAGTGCTGTCGCCACCCAGCATGGGAACGACATAAGTGGTTGCCGCTAATATAAATTAAAAAAATTAACGTCGCTTGCAAACACTTGAACGCAATAAATGTTTCATAACGAGGCTCATTTATTAGCCATTCTATTTAAATATTTTTAAAACCTTGTCCATACATGAAGATTCATAAATGCACAACAAAATACAAATGTACACATTTCTCATACATTTATATGAAAGTTGTTTTATTGAAGTGACAAATAAGAAATTTATGACTTTATAATAAGCTAATAATAACGAACCAGAAATAATGGAACGTCTTTATCACGAGCATAGACAATAGACTTGAAAGCATTACATTTAGTGGCGTGTCAATACGCGCCCTTTTTAAATTTAGAACCACTTCAGCGACTAATCAGATTTGTAAAGTAAAATCTTTTTGAACGCCGAAATCGGTATTCTTTGAACTCATGGGAAAATATTTAATTAGAAAATAGCTTATTTGTGTTTGTTTTGTGTTAATGTATTCCTTTTGAAAGGTAAGGCAATTAGCACCTACCGGCTTCTGGTAAAAGCGAGTTTTTATGATAAGTCAATTGTGAATTCGGTTAGTCATTAGTGGTATGAGTGTTTCGATCCACCTGGTGTGATGTTTGCAATAAACATTCAATTTACAATCATTATTATCATTTAAAAATCAATAGGTTTACATTTTTAATGCAAACCTCTTTTGTCATTGAGTTGACAATTCAGAGTTCCATTTTCGAATAACGAGTGCCATAAGGAAACCAATTTTTTCTTTATTATCGACTTGACAGTTCCGCGTTCGAAATTCAAACGGGAGCTACAGATTAAACCCATTTAGTACAAGTAGCGATGTCTAGACAAGAGTCATTTAGATAATACGCGACTTGGTATAAAAGGTGCCGACTAAGTACTACTTACAACCCTTTGCGTCTTGAGCATCTTTACGCATTATTATTATTAATTGCTATGTGGTATTTTTAGAAGTGATGCCAGCATTCAATAGCCATTAACTGTACTAAGCGTATATTACCACAGCGAAACATATTACAGCTAACAACGTTCGTTCGAGAGCAGTATTGGGCTAGTGGCTTCAGCGTCTCTCAGTCCTGAAGTCGTAGGTTCGATCCCTGGCTTTGCACCAATGGACTTTCTTTCCATGTACGCATTTAACATTGGCTCCAACGGTGAAGGAAACCATCGTAAGGAAACCGCCTTGCCTTAAACCCATAAAATTCGACGGCGTGTGTCGGGCACAGGGGGCTGATCTCCTACTTGCCTATTAGATTGACAAATTATGAAACAGATACAGAAATATGAGGCCTAGACCTAAAAAGGTATTAGCGCCATTGATGTTCGTAGACATGAGTTTATATTGGGCTAAATATTAATTTATGAATGTTTGTTACAGAATCGTTGAGTCCACAATCAGAACAAATAACAAATTCATCGTCAGTACCAGATCCCAACATCAGGTAAATATATATTTTATGAACTTTTTGAAATCGCTTTATAATTTGTATTACATAGGATTTTTTTATTTATCTTTAAGCCATATGTACTAACAGTAAGAAAAATTTTGTTTCCGAAAACTGTTTCTTTAAATTGTAACGTGTAATTGGAGGATCTTTATAAGCATTTCATAATCTATCTCTTGTTATAGGAGATACCGCACAGCGTTCACAAGAGAGCAGTTAGCTCGTTTAGAGAAGGAATTTATGAAGGAAAACTATGTATCAAGACCGAGACGATGTGAATTAGCAGCTCAGCTACAATTGCCCGAATCTACTATCAAGGTAATTAATCTAATTAACTTTAAATACCAATAATATATTTTCTTCCTGGGTACCACATAGGGTATCACATCTGAACCAAGTGACGCATTGCACAAAGGGGATTTGTCCAGAGACGCAACTGACCAATAATTTATCTATGCAAACCAATGCTTCGTTTATTAAATGTTTCTAAACGGCTGGGGCAAAAACAATAATTTCAGAAACGTTTAAAAATAGTGATAATTTGCTTTAAATAACCGACCCGAATAAACTAATTGTTTTAACAACCGAAAGTATTGCGAAATGCAAAATCAATAGACAAGAGACAAGTTGTCACAGATAAATATTGCTTTCAATACACTAAAAAAATTCTACACAGTAATAAATTACCAACATTCCAGAAAACAGACCTAAAAGAATTCATATAAAAATTAAGCAATACTATAAAACCAGTTGCGCGTTGTAAACATAATTAAAACGAATCATAAATTGATTATTTTCAACCACGTCTTAATAAGGAATGTGTTAATTGGCCATTACAACCGTTAAGTTTGGTTGCGAATCTATTATGAAACATGCGTAGAGTAAGAATTCTTATATACTATGTGTAGTAACTTTTTGATAATTCTAAAAAAACTAAAACTGTCTATAATCTATAACGAAAAAGAATTCAGAGGTTAAATATATATTTAAAAAACAAGTACATACCTAAATGTAATGTGTACCTAATTGGTATAGGAGTAAATTTATTTAGTAAAATGTTCTTTGTCGTACTTTTAAGCGAAACTTTCTTTTTCCTGCGAACAAGAAATTTTGATGAATGTTTTACGATATATCAACAACGGTAAAGCTGGGGTATTTATTTGTATATAAACACAACAATCTTTCCTTAAGAGGTTCATTAAGCAAACAAACAAAACCCTTTAAGATTTTAAAGCGAGATACGCAATTAGCAGCCATTTTGAAGTTTGCGCGCGCAAAATGGCCCGCCTTCTGCAAGCATCATAGACAAGATTATTGCTTTTTACAGTACGCGAAGGTAATAAAATATTCAAGATGAGGTTTTAGTATATTTTGCTTTACGAAAAGGGCTGGCAGTATTTTTGTTGAATTAATGTAACATAAATTTCATCGCACAAGCTTTGGATGTCGAAGTGTGCTTAAGTTATTATTTTTTACTAAGAATAACCTTCTCTAAATTTTTATTATCAACAACACGGAAACTTGATAATTAAAAGAACTAATAAAAGTACAATATGCTAGAAAATTATCTCAAACCTTTCATTATGATACAAAAGACTCAATCAAATTCTTTCTAGATAATCGTAATTTTATGAGAAATAAAATTGTCTATGGCCAACCATAGATTACACCGCAATAAAAGTCCATCACAATAAACAAATACTTTACACATCAAATAGTAGCCGCTGTTTATAATTTTTTAATTGGTGTTATCGTAAAACCAGTTTAATACCATCGCTCACATTTTTGTCGAACGATAAGCAATTTTAATAGCATAAAATCAGAGGGATGCTTTTGATTATAGATAAAGTGCTTGAGTATACAAGCCCTAATTACGATTTAGTTTTTGAAATAATTAGGATTCGAAATATAAAAATAAATATTACTTGGTCTGTGATATATAACATTTGCTTGTTTTTATCTACTTTAACCACAGACACACCAATGTAAGTAAAAAAGACAACAAACTTAATGTAGTATAAGTAAAAAACATTTGTGTTCTCGACTGTGACCGTCATTTATTGCCTACGAGTGTTTATAATGATTTGACTTTATAATGGAGTTTCTTTTCGAATTAATGTTTATTAGCATTGTATGGCTACTGAATAATTCGGTCGGTTTTTCAACAAATTAGCGTTGGTGTAAAATTTGAATGGCGTTATAAAACACATGTATATCATTTGGGATTTCTTTTTGGACGTGATAATTGTAATTAGTGCGTCATTTGAACTAAAAAATATTTAAATTGGCATACGTTTTGAATTTATAATAATTTTATGGTATTAATTATATTGGTATAACGAAGTATTTATAATTTTAGTTTACATAAAATGTTATCATCATCGGAAAGCGAAAAGACGTAATGAAAAGCAGGTTTTTAAATCGTAAATATTTGAACTAAGACGTTTAAATTTAATATTATCAGTTAGACATTTAAAACTTACATTTAAGTCATTTATAAAACAACGAAAGTCCGAAATGTACGAGGGAGTTGATTGTTGTATGTAATGTGTACTTACTTATTAGCTTTGGTATAAGTACATCATGTTTTTCTTAATTGAGTCTACTACTAAAGTTATTGTGGGATTACAATGAGATACATAAGACTACATGAAATGGTCGAAAATCTAAAGCCTGCCCAAAAAAAAAACAGAAGCTTTACGCTTTATCGTTTTCGACATTAGATTTTTGAATCTGTTCCATTGTTGTACGTCGATAATGCTCCCCTTATACAAGAAATCATTTAAAGAATCGCTAACTAACCATTAGAATAGCGCATGATGAAAACGTTCAAGTATGATGCTTCAATTAGATCCATCATAATTTCCATCAAGGTGGTGTTAATTCGCAGAAATCATGTTTCAAATTTGTTGCTACCAACCCAATTCACACTTAACGGTGCTTGCTCTATGTTATGGTACCAAAATATGTAGGTTAGTACAAAAATAGTTTGTATAGGAATTGTCTTTGGTTGGTATCTTACGACGTCTTTTATGAATGTACATCTAATGTGAGAATAAATATATATTCAAAAAACGCGTTTAATTTTGTTCTGATTTCTTAAGACACAGGAAAATTTTGTTATATTAAAATGGCAATAATTTAATGATCTTGGAAAAATCCTTGGTCATGTTTATTTATTATCGAAATTATATAAGAGACTATTGGCAACACTTGTAATGTTTTTTGGATGAATGGTGAATAATTCAATATGTGTTGGCCTAGTGGCTTCAGCGTGCGACTACCATTACTGAGGTCGTAGGTTCGCTCCCCGGCTGTGCCACCATTGGACTTTTTTCTATGTGCGCAATGCGCATTTAACATTCGCTCCAAAGGTGAACCGAACCACCTTGCCTTAGATACAAACGGCGTGTGTCTGGCACAGCAGACTGATCACCTACTTGCCTATTAGATTGAGAAATGATCATGAAACAGATACAGAAATCTGAGGTCCAGACCTAAAAAAAGGTTGTAAACTAAACAAAAACTAACCATCAATTTCTCTTGCAGGTATGGTTTCAAAACCGAAGAATGAAGGACAAGCGCCAACGTATCGCCGTGGCCTGGCCCTACGCAGCAGTCTACAGCGACCCAGCCTTCGCAGCATCTATCCTCCAAGCAGCTGCATCATCAGTAGGCCTGCCTTACGGCTACCCTTCAGCCCCAATGATCCCCCCCTTCCACAACCCGCAACTTTTACCCTCGGGCTACCCGTACCCCTATCCCTACCCCAGATACCCGTACATTCCACCAACCCCACCTTCCCCAGTCAACCCAGAAGGGCCAGTGAGACCCGGGTATTCGAATTTTAATATTAACGTTGATAAGTAATTTGGAAAAAGAAACAAACTGGTGTATGAAAATTAACAAGAATTGTAATGTATCGTAATAATTTGATATTTATTTAGAATTTTATAAAACGAATCACTTTAACCATATTGTATCGAGATATTAAATGTTTTTAAGTTAAAGAATTGATATTTCATGGTAGTAAACAATACATCGATATTTTCATGAGAAATCTTTTGTCACGTTTGTTCATTACCAAACTGGCACTAGAGTAATAAAGACAAAATATCAGGAAAGTTTTTATGGTAGGAATTAGATGAACTGCTATTCAAAGAATTGATATTTCAGTACTACCTGGATATTTTCATGAGGAATCTTTTGTCACGTTTGCTCATTACCAAACTGGCGCGAGAGTAAAAGAGACAAAACATCAGGAAAGTTCTTATGGTAGGAATTAGATGAATTGCTATTCAAAGAATTGATATTTCAGTACTACCTGGATATTTTCATGAGGAATCTTTTGTCACGTTGCTCATTACCAAACTGGCGCGAGAGTAGTAATAGAGACAAAACATCAGGAAAGTTCTTATCGCCGGTCTCGCCTCAGAATTATATCAAGGCACTTATGTAAATAAAAATAGCTTAGGTAATTTATTATATATTCAAAAAGACATATTCATTCCACTGTAAATAGGTTTAAATCACTAAAATAAGAACCAAAGTGTATATTTAGTGCAATATTGTTTAAAGCTCAATCAAGTGTTAATACTCAGAATCCTTCATTAAGCGTTGATTTTAATTGAGTAAATTTAAATTTTTAATTTTTGATTCATATCCTTTTGTTTAATGGATGACTCTGAATATGGCGGCTAGACTTAGTGTTTATATTTTACGAAAATTAAGCTTATATAGTGCCAAAGTATTGACCTATGAACGTTGGTGTTTCTGTTGATTTTGGTCAGATAGCTCTGTGGCTCTATAAAAAAAAATTAAAATGTCATCAATTAGAAATTTAGTTTGTAATGTATAAACTGTAAATATTTTAAGTGTTCATAGGACGTATTTAGAATAAGATGTAAAAATTAATTTTAAAAGACAAATATAAGAAGTTATTATACTTTTGTTTTATTAATTAACGTCGTGGAAGAGAAGAAAAGACACAAAGGAAACTAATAATAACGACCGCTTCTCGCAAGCCGTCGCTGGATGACTTGATTACTTAGTAATAGGTTTTTTCCAACACACAAATATACAGTATTTATAAAGGTCAAAAAGTCAAAATCATTTATTTATATAGGTGGTACCTATACAATATTAAGTGTTTATTAACGTCAGAAAATAAATATATATTAAATGCTTCTAATTTTATATTTACTGTCAGTTCTAAAATCAAGGGCGTAGAACGGTAGAGAAGAACTGGCAATAAACTCTCCGCCACTCTTTTTAATCGCCAAGTTTTTTATTTTACACAATGTTTGTAAGGAGCTGCAACCATTACACCATGTTCTTAACCTACATAGTAATAATAATAGTAATTAAAAATTGATAAATAGAAAACAAAATTGGTCCCTGTGGTAGGTACCTTTAACGCTGGCAGCATTTCCTCGCTGTATTGCCATACTTATTCGTTGAGCGAGGAAAGCACCAGCTTTAAACCCCCGACTTAAATCTTTAATTACCGCCTGTGCACTTGAACCCCAAGGCCCAACAGTCTACTCCAAAGGAAACAAAATCAAACTAAACTATTCTTAAAATAGTCTACACTATCTGAATTAACTGGAAATTAAAATATTATTCGTTCCTGGCGTTTTTTTATTCTGGCAACGTTCATTCATTGTAAAAAGTACTAACAATACTCTTATTTCGCCATTATAACCTGGAGTTTTAACTGAAAGTTACACCACCACCACAATGAAAATCAAGGGGTTAACCTTGAGAGAGAGAATGATAAGAACTTTGAATATATCTGTATTATTAATTTGGGCTAAATACATGAATTTAAAAAAAATAATAATAATAATCACAAATATACAAAATCGTTTATAGTCTATACCTATAGGTATTTTTGAGTTTGTTTACAATATTCTTAACCTCATAATAATAGTTAAAAATATACGTATATGTACACACTAAAATAAATTTAAAAAGTTTGGTCCCTATGACAGTGTACCTTTAACGCTGGCAGCTTTTCCGCTGTATTGCGATACTTTTTCGTTGAGCGGGGAAAGATTTATCTACCAGGCGCCAACTTAAATCTTTAATTAGCACCTGTGCACTTGAACCCCACGAGCCCAAGAGTCTCTACTCCAAAGGGAACAAAATCAAAGTTAGAAGAAAGGTTAATATTTTTGCCGTTTATTAATTTCCGCCTGCCGCCCGCCTTTGAGTTTCATAGACAATATTAAAAAAACTTGATCAATACACAGCCTTTGAAGTAAAAAATACCTGTATCCGGGTTCCAGCTCTTCCATAACCAACTTAATAGTAAATTCCATAACAATATAAACGAAACGGAAAGCGCATACTTGCAGGGAGAAATCATGAGGCAGTACGTTCCGGACAATTATTACCGCTGCCGGAAACATAACCTTTTTGCTGTGCGTTCGGCTCGCACTGTCCAGCGACAACAAGCGCCCATTCCTCGGCTACTCTCGCAGCTTAATAGGTTTCTCGACTCTTCACCGGAGAGCGACCTATTTGGGAAGCATATGGGGGTAGTATACTGTGAGAGTATACTTGGAGGGGATAAGAGGATAGCATTAACTGTCAATTTTGTAAATAACTTAATTATATTTTATTGTGGTTTAGTGTTGTTTTTAGTCTGAGTTTGGCCATGCGTGTTAGTAAATAAATAATATATACCATAGTTTTTTCATGTAAGTTTATCTAGAATCTATTATCAAGTAAGCGTTGGTAAGCCGGTAAGTCCCTAAGTTAATAAAGCGACACGTTTATTACGTCACCTGACACGTACTTTATTACACTTTGCACATTATGTGTGACTTATTGGCAAAGGTAGGAAAGCATTTATTGGACTAATTAACAGCCACCGTGGGTCAGTGAATCAAGTGCTCACTTCGTGTGTTCAGTCTTCGTTTCCGTTTCTGTTGAAACTATTTTACGAACAGGGATATACGAATTTATTTTAAGAAAGAGAGAACTGTTTATTCTCGAAAGAAGTTGTTTTATTATCTGTAATTACAATATCTTGTCCTTGTATACATACATATTTTAAGAAAATTGGATTTATAATATTTAAAATAGACTATATTAAAAAACAACTTATTTGGGTTCTAAATCTAAGGGGCTGGACCTTCTGGCCCGAGAGAATCTCTTATCATCAGCTGTAGGAGCTATGCAATGAGCAGTGGCGGATTCTAGGGGCTATTTTTGGGGCGGCAAATTTGGGATTCTTCTTCTTTCACTTTTGAGATTCTTCTCACTTATTGTATATTTGGTGTAGCAAACTTCCATACCCATATTACCCCATACATGTCAAAAAAAAATGTTTATTATGGAACATAAGATACATGTATCACTTATTCCACGTCATTAAATTTGAATTTGTAGGCATCCCTACTCATCGGCAAAGAAGACAGAGGGTGTAGGCCGAGAGAAAAAGCCGGCGTAAAAAAACTCTTGGCTCTTTTAAAATAGCAAATCATCAGTCAGAAGTCAGTCCTACTACTGGTTGAAGGCAGCGAACTGGATGGTTTGTGTTTCCGATTAGCCAAAGTTCAAAATTCATTTATGGGGTACTGTGTGAAATGTTACAATAAAATACCTGGTGACATTTTAAAACTAAATGAACGAAAATTTAAATGTTTTATTAAAAGTACACTTTGTAAACAAGCATATTACAAATTAGATGATTATATTCAAGATAAGAATGCTTGGAAACATGCTGGTCCTGCTCCATAGGACAATCATAGACCCTGGAAAAAATCAAATTGGTTGCTGATTTTTTGCTTTAACATATTTTTGTTATTTCTTTTTTTTTAATTTATAATGCTACAAATGTAATTATTTTAATGTATCTCACACACTGTTTTGTTGTGTTTTTTAATATTTTTATTACTCTTTAATGTTAATATTCTACGGTTTCGATATTTGTAAATATGTGAGGAACATGTATACTAACTTTTTTAGTATAGTAGTTTATTCTAAGAGTACATTGTCTTCACATATAATTATTTAACAAATGTAACAAAATATTGTAAACCTATTTTAAAAAGAGTAAGTGTGGAGTTTCTTGCCCATTCTTCTCCACACGAAACTACCTTTTGGAAGGGGCAACTAGAATCTTCTTTGTATTTTTTTTGACGTTCAAAGTGCCATTTTAGATGGTCTAATTGAAATAAATGATTTGACTTTGACTTTGTGTATAATCAAACCCAATGACCATATTTTACGTGCGATTTCAACGAACGAAATTGTTGGATTGTAAAAATAATCTTGGACATCACAATTTACTTATATATGGGACATGAAGCTGAAGCCTGTTTCCATATAAGCGCCACACGGTTGACCTAAAAAAGGTGTTGGACTCCTCCAGGTTTCCACCACATCGTTTTCGCTAGTTTTCGTGAGTGTATTCACGAAATTTTGTTCTTAGAAGGGAAACTCAATCAAAATACCGAAACTTTTGCAATAATTGCCGCGTCGACTATTCCGATTGTTAGTAAGTTTTACTAAGCTCCAATTTACCACAATATATTATTATTTATTTGTTTGAATTACTTAGTAGAGGGCGTCTACAGCGAGGCTTCTCCTTAGAGGCTGCTGCTGTTTTTCCTAGAAGTTATAGATCACTGCCGTGTAATGCTTTTAAGGGAAAGGTGATTAAATTTAAAGGCAAGTTGCCTTTATAGTGTGGGCAAGTATTTAGACCATAAGTTATGATAACAATTTTAAATAACTCAACTTATTATTATGACATTATGTTAAGGTTTTTATTATATGACATTATTAAAATTAATATGACATTGCATGCCTGTCCTGCCATCCTGTAACTCACTTTTCGAACTCACACAGCGGTTTTC